CTTGTCGGTTTTGTTCGTTTTGTCGATGCGTCTTTTCCTAGACTGGGCCTGGGTGAATCCATCATTCTGTATTTCATCGTCGGTCGATGTCACGTCAGTTAAATTTTCAAGAGGTCTTTTTAAATTGACAGGCCTTAAAATTTGCATTATTGATTAACTGTGTTACCTGAGTGGTCAGGCAGTCTATTTTACTGTTTTGGTCCCTAACTGTCTCAGTCAGCTCCTTTATTTGCTGAGCCTGGCTTTCGATGATCAGGGTCTGGCGCTGGTTGGTTCCACCCTTTTCGTCTGCCACAGCTGGTGTCATCAATTCCTTTGATTTCATGGTAATTTCTGTTCTCTCCTTCTGGCTGGGTCCATTCATCATCGGGGACGCTGGGGGATCATTACTTTGACCTCCAGAGTCTATCTCCAGGTTTTTAAATCGGATTTTCTTTCAAAAACTTGAAAACTTTCACGAGCAAAAATATGACGTATTGTTAATTATCCCTTATACAGGGCGTCGGCAGTGTGACCCTTGACAGAATTCAAAAGGGCCCTGACTCCACAGTCGATGAGAGACTACTCTCGAGTTGGGCCTTAGTTGTCTAGGTTCCAATGAAAGGCCACCAAACCAGGGAGCCGTACAAGACAGATGGACGTACGATGGTTCTTTAGAGCCGGTGGAAACAGCCGAAATATATCTACGGTACATTTTGCAAGGTGAGGGTCACTTTCACGACGATTTGCTTTGTAAGGTTTTTTTGACATTGTTTTTCGTACGTTGATTTATATAGAGTGGAGGCTAAAGGTTTGTTCGTACAGCCTGTTTGCTGACAATCAGCAAACTGATAGTCGGTGTCAAGCCATGATCTAGCTTACGTAGTCACTGACACGTCGGTGACTGTATTAATTACAGTTTTAATCATCAACATAATCCATTAAATGTATATATAAAAACAGTAAAAGAAATTTTAGTAACTTAATCCTTTAGATGTATTAGTAAGTTTAGTAACTCAAAACACTTTATGGTTTGTTTGTATAGCTTGTTTGGTGACAATCAGCAAACTGATAGTCGGCGACAAGTCATGACCTAGTTTACTCAGTTGGCTGTCACTGACATGTCGCTGACTGTATAGATTACGATACGAGTTGGCTGAGGGAGTCAAGACTGCTTACCGACAACTAAAGGTTGATTCTCACTATACATTCCGTTTCCATTCCATATCAGTTTCGTAAACGTTCCGTACAATGTGATTGTATACACAGTATATCTTACGGATAATGTGCATACACATGCAATAGCCTGCTTTAAGCGAAGGCGAATATTTAATTTCAATAATTTACGGAACGGTTACGGGATGGATACGGAATGTATAGTGAGAATCAACCTTAATCCGCTGTTCGTACAGAAACTTCTGTTTGATGACTGTCAAATCAGTCAGCAGATAATTTTCCAGTAAATTGTCAGAGCTCGAAATCAAGTACAATAATTATTCGAATGTAAAATTTTTCAGAATGAAGAAGACAATTTTGAAAAAGTTGGGATGCATTTGCTGTAAACCAGAATGATCTAGGATTTTTCGACCAACTGTCCAAATGTACCCAAATTTTCCTTTAGAGGAAAACATGGACACTTTCTTGAAAAAATAAAAGCACCCAAAAATGTCAAGTAGATTTACTCAGTAACTACCATTCAATTCTCATATAAAAAGTATAAACAAAAATTCGAAGAAATATGATTCCACACATCGAATGACAAGTTGAAGAAGCAAATACATAGTAAGAATTCTGAATAAATTTCTGCAGTGATTATGCATGAGAAATGTACAAAGTATTGTAAATTACTTTTAATAAAACTCGGATAGTAGGGTTCTTGTTTCCTGTTCCCTTATCGCCCAGCCTCGAAGTGTATGCAGAAACAGTGTTTATATATTCTAGTTATGTAAGTTCAACCCAAAGCTGATGAAAAAATAAACAAAATAACGAATTCTGGAGATTTTGTGATACAGCTTTTTCTCACAGGTGGCACAGAGGCAGGGTAAAAATAATATTTTCCCTATACATGGTATTTTAAATTCGACCCTCACCATTAAGATCTCGGAAACTTCAAGGGATACGAAGTCACTTGATTAGGGACAAAGTTGCGTATTCAGACAATCAGCAAAATGTCGCTTAGAAAGTTTTGAAATTGAAAGTACTTCCGGAAAGAGGCGTAAAAAACGAAATTTCCCAAAAAGCTTTTAATTTTCTCCTGACTTTATTTGTGGTAGGATGAAGGATTTCACAATAAGTTCGACAAGAACTCTGCCACATTTTTTCCTCTACAAGATCGCGCAATTAGAGTTTCAATATGACGTTTCGTGTCTTGACTTCGAGCATCAACTTAATTTTTTCTTATAGACGTCATATTGGATTCTTACACACATGAATAGAGTTTTTATGCTGATTTAAAAAATGTATGTCATACATTGACATTGCAAAACCTCAGTTATTAGAGAAGTTCCTAGGTAAGCCTTGAAATTATCAGATTTCATTTGTTTTGCATAGCAACAGAGTTTGGAAGACTGTGAATACTTCTGCTTATTTATAGTTGTAGTGGTTGCTATTATCGTCAATAAAATTTTCATCTCGTATTCAGGTTTCACCGTATCTTTTTATTTCCTTTTAATTTTCATCCAACAACAAATTTATGGTCAACTAACAATAACTGAATTTAGGGCTTAAAAAGTCCATTTAAATGTACAAAATTCCAATATAGTTTCCATATGAAAAAACAAATTTGATGATTGAAGTCGACAGAAGAAATGTCGAATTGAAAATTTGCAGACTCTAACTAGAAGAAAGAAGTGAAAATACTACAAGGATTTGATAACGTCTTTGAATAATAAAGGGTGACACACTAAAAAGCTAAAACGGTGGAACATAACTAGAATTATCAAGATCTGCTTACATAGCTATAAGTTTCACATGGACAAACACTTTCAAAATTTTACTTATTCGTTTATACTAAGTGACATATAAATCCGAACACCCAGTTTAAATGGTTTTATTTTAATAAAAGTTGGTGAATGTATTTATCTTACTGTAAATAACAAGTGACAAAATATTCAGCCTTATCAGTTAGACATTCCGGTTTTTATACTGCTTTTTTTTAATTCACTAACGCTCTAAAAATGAATATTTCAGCCGCAGTAAAGAATCAACGTTGGCGGATTTTGGTTCTTGACATCCTTTATGATCGGTTACGATGCCTAGAGTACGGAGACCTGTACGATTTCGTCAACTTAGTGAGTTTGATAGGGGCCATATAGTGGGACTTCTGGAAGCTGGACTTTCTTTTCGGGCAATTGCAGTTAGAGTGCAAAGAAGTGTAGACACTGTGGTTAGGTGTTGTCAGGCATGGCTTCGAGAAGGCCGTACGCAAAGAGCAAGGGGCACTGGACGCCGCCGTAGAACAACAGACCGTGAAGATCACCGCCTAAGATTATTGGCCTTAAGGGACCGTTTCTCCACTACCAGGTCCATTGCAAATAAATGGTTTGCAGAACACGGAAGACCTATTGGCATGCGAAGTGTTTACCGACGAATGAGAAGTTTTGGCTTGTTTTCATACCGGCCACACTGGGTCCTCCCTTTAACTCGAGAACACCAACGTAATCGCCTTGAGTGGTGCAGACAACGGTCACTCTGGGATCAGGAATGGAACAGTATTGTCTTTGGTCACGAGTCTCGATTTTGTTTAGGCATGCACGATGGTCGTGCCAGGGCTAGAAGGCGACGTGGTGAAAGGAGAAATCCACAGTTTTTTGTTGAAAGACATGTTCATCACACTGTTGGAGTTATGGTTTGGGGTGCTATAGCTTATGGTTCCAGGTCACCTTTAATCTTCATCAGAGGTAACATAAACGCGCAGCGTTATATCCACGAAGTTCTAGAACCCTATCTTTTACCCTATCTTGACACCCTGGCAGATCCAACTTTCCAACAAGATAATGCCCGACCACATGTTGCAAGAGTCACAATAGACTTCTTTCAACATAATGATGTCACATTGTTACCATGGCCACCAAGATCTCCCGACTTATCCCCAATTGAGCACGTGTGGAATATGATGGGTAGGAGATTGCTCAATTTGCAACGTCCTCCTCAGACTCTAGAAGGACTTCGAGAGGAGTTGGTGGTTGCCTGGAATGAGATACCACAGGAGGACATTGACCACCTGATCAGAAGCATGCCTAGGCGCGTTGGAGAATGCGTAGCACATCAGGGTGCATCCACACATTATTAAAGGTCAAAGGGCTTTAAAGCAGTGCAATCATTTTGAAATTTCTATCATTTACCTATTATGCTTCATTAAGTACTTATACAAAATTTTATTAAAATAAAACCATTTAAACTGGGTGTTCGGATTTATATGTCACTTAGTATATATTTGTTATTCCCATTTTTGAACTGCCTAAAGTTAGTAGAACTGGGAAAATCTGCCTATGTAGATTGTTACACAATCTCGACAGCCTCGGGACAAAGGAGCGGTCTTATCGGCCAGTTCTGGACGTACGAAGTTCGACACGCTAACGATGGGAGGCCGAAGTCAGGTAGACAGATCGCGGGGCGACACCATGGAAGAGAGCTCTGAGAAGCAAAGCCCGTTATCGGTTGGTACGAAGACCGTCCATTAGAGAAAAGTTCATTAAAAGCCTCTTCCGCAGCAATTTTAGTCCTCAGAATAGTTTCGACACACTATGATACCTGTCACTGTCACTGTTTGACTGGTGTCCTCTGATCTGTCAGGAGGTTCAGTACGAACAGCGGATTAGCTGTCGGCAATCAGTCAGAAACTATACGAACAGGTAACATCCCTTTGATTCTGATTTTGACAGTCACCGACAAGTGGCCTTATTGATTTTCTTGGTCTTGCTTTCATAGGCAAGGGCTTTAGTGCCATAATGTTGTCAGTATAATTTAATGTTATTTTTGGATGTACTTTCGTCTAAGTTTACGCTAAGGACACTACTTACCTCCCCAGCTTTAACAAGCATTCCAGCCAGTCTAATAACAGGGCTAGTCGCATGGCCCATGTAACCAATCGGAGCTAAACTAACATGCGCCTTGACTTTCTTTTGATAGTCCGGTCTTTCTGATGCAAATACATAGAATACGGTTGTTCCCTGAGAATGTCCGACATAGTATAAGCTTTCAACACCAGTCTGATTCAGTACGTAGTCTATCATGGCAGGAAGGTCCGTGGTTCCAATTTCGTGCCAGCTGAAATCCCAGAATTTGAGATCCTTATCTGGATCGAGCTTTGTGTGATTCCTAGAGTACATGTTGCCTCTGTTGTTGCCCATCCACACATCGTAGCCCTCGTCTGCTAGCGCATAGCCTAGAATAATTGAATTTTTCTTATACGTATAATTAACTGAATAATAGGGTTATTCAGTATCTCATGTCTAACAATAAAATCCGACAGTGTTGCCTAAGCGTTTGACAAAAATTGAAGAGGTAATCCAATGGACAATTTCAAGTAAGTTTCGCTATTTATTGTAGAGCTTTTATCGAATATTTCCCTCATGTATAAAAAATGCCATAAGAGGTGTGGAGTGATCGCAAAACTATAGCGAAAATTTTCCGTTACCTAGGCAACGGTATCAAAAGGGCATCTAATTTTCCAAAAAAAACATCGACAAAACACGTTGCTAAATGATATTTTAACAAGAAGCATGAGTGCTTGTGGCCACAAAAATCTAAGTCCAAGACGTCTTCGACTCAGATTTTTGTATCTGCACGAATATTTTTTGTTTTTTCGATGTTTTCGCAGGAAAAAATTAGATGCCCGAATGATATTTGACAAGACTATTTCATGAGTAACAGGTTATTCTGCATACATAGTCTAATCATATCACACGAAAATACCTCTAGTTTGCGAAATAATTGTAAAGTTTGGTTTTATTGCTGCAAGCTGTTCAACGGGGTATTCAAAACATAGACGCATAACCAATTTTTGTGGGAAAACTTTATATTCGATAACAAAGAATGAGAAAACGTGTTTTTTTGGGATCCAATCGAAATTGTTAACATGAACAAAAAAACCCTTCCTATAAGATTTTAGGTATTTATTTATTTAATTTCAAATATCTGCGAGAATCCATCGTCGCATTACTAACAAGTGCCAAAACCTGCATTTTGTCTCGCTCTTCGGCCATAACATTTTTGCTATTAGTCGGATCTGTTCACGTGTGGTCTCATTTTGTATGTCTCACAAATGCCTAACACTTTACAATTATTTCGGGGAAATTTGCTAATATGATTAGACAACATACAGCTTACGAATGTTTAAGGGTGACCCAGGGCACCATAATTACTTGTTATCAAAGGTATTGTAATTTTTGGTGACAACAGCTTCCAAGTTTTACCGCGGGTAAATTCGAAAAAAGTGCTGACAGATGCTGTCGTCCAACTTTTTCATCTAGAAACCATTTGTGCATCAAAATTGCCCCGTAGGTATAAACAATTTCCCTATAGGTCCTTATCTCTAGTTACGATTGATGAAATGTGCATTTGTCAAATATTTGGCTCATAGGGCACTGATAGCAGCTGTACCGTAATTTCGATCCGGAAAACTTTTTAGACGAAAAGCGAGATAACCGAGGTATTTACTATGGAAACTGACCCAGAGGGGGTCAGGAAATGGCGCTTCCACCATGGCAATGGAGATGGAGTCGAAGGAGCAGACCATAGAGAAGCTGAGAGCCGAATTGGAGATGGTTCGACAGGAGCTGTCAAAAAAGGACGATGATAAGACCAATGAAAGATTGATGATGATCATCGAAGCCCAGCAGCGGACAATTACCGACCTAACAGTTAAATTAGACCTCCTACTGAAAACCCAGGTACCTTCCCATCTAAATATTACAAATTCTTCCCAAACACTTCCCAAAAATCCCAGTAAAGACAAAGCTGTCAATCTTAAGAGACCGTTAAATAATTCAAGCGATCTTTCCACAGACGACGATACACTCCCTGACGGTATTACCAAGGTTAAACCCCGTAAAACGCGACGAAACAAGACCGACACGACAGGCTTTCCGCCTCTCCCTCCACCAAAATCGCAGTCTGAAACGTCTCATTCAACTGCAAGCGACTCGAATAAACAGCCTGTGCCTAATCTATCGGTTACTTCCACGCCTTCGACATCTCAGGTACCAGAAGGCACGACTGCACAGCCCCCACGCAAGGTACGTGTCACCCCCATCGTTCTTCGCGATGCTTCGAGATGGCGAGGCGTAAATCACAAGTTTATTTCTTTGGGCATCAAATTCGAACGCGCGGTTGCCGTCAATGCAGGAATCAGGATAATTCCCAAGTCCGAGGATGATTACCGCAGGATTATTCGTCTCTTCAGGGAGGACGAGGTGCCCCATCACACTTTCCCTCTATCCTCCGAGAGGAACATTCATGCTGTAATCAGAGGAGTACATGCGACACTTTCGGAAATTTTGATCAAGGAAGAGTTGCAACAGAGGGGATATTCGCCCTGCACATAATTCGCCTGAAACGCGGTGGCGGCGTGCCCATGCCTTTGGTGGTAGTCATACGGCCCAAGATAGAAAAATCTCAGCAGCTGTACAACGAACACGAGCTGCTAGGTTTGGCTATCCGAGTCGAAGTTCAAAAGAACTCAAGACTCATCGGGCAGTGTCACCGCTGCCAAAAATATGGGCATGCGCAATCTTACTGCACTGCACCACCTAAATGTCTAAAATGTGCTTCTGACCACATGACCCACTTATGCCCTCAAACAGAACAAGAGGAACGAAAGTGCGCGAACTGTGGAGGGGGGCATCCAGCGAATAGCCGAACTTGCAGATTTGCCCCTAAGAAAAATCTGCAAGTGATAGCGCAAAGGCGCAATGTAAGTTACGCGGATGCAGCTAAGGATGCAACCCGGGCTGCCCCCTCTGTGGGATCTTCTGCGAATACGCAAAATGTTGACCTGGCAACCGCGCTAAGGTCCTTACAGCAGATCATAGGTTCTCTGATTAGCGCAACACAGGCTTTGCAGGCGATCTTTCCTGCAAATGTCTAGGTACAATCGACGACAGCCTGCATTTACCAAAATTCTTTTTTGGAATTGTTTGGGTCTAAGGGACATTCCCAAAAGACGGGAATTTCATCAAGCTCTTGTGGACGAAGTATAGATGTGGCCTTGCTGCAGGAAACATTACTTAATCCGGGAGATCGTCTAGCTTTCCCGAATTACGATGTTATCCGGGCTGATAGATTGACTGGACGGGGTGGCGGCTTGGCAGTGCTAGTGAAACGCGGTATTGACTACCACAGAAGCACAAACGCTGACATGCAGAGCATCGAAGCGGCTTCCGTGGTGGTCAATATGACGGGAGGTGTGCCGTTAAAAATCACATCGGTGTATGTCAGGTGTGGTAACAGGCTGCAAGAGGCAGATCTGGAAGTCCTTTTAGACTACTCGGGCCCACTTATTGTGGCAGGGGACTTCAACTGCAAACATCGAGCATGGCATTCCAGGTTGAATTCCACCAGTGGAATCCGACTGTACAACCATGTGATACGAAATGGCTACCTCATACATAGTACTGAGGAGCCGACGCACCACCCATTTAACCACCTTCAGGCACCTGATGTTCTTGATTTGGCATTATCCAAAAACTGTAGCTACAGTATCACTTCTCGAATCATGTATGACATCTCAAGCGATCATCTTCCCGTCGTTTTGGCAGTGGCTAATGAGCAGATATTGGGGGATGAAATCCCTCCAAGGAAACGCATTGATTGGGAGCTATACAAGTCGCTCCTGAAAGAGTTCCCCAATATACCGATCATAGATGATGAGAACGTTATAGATGCGGCTCAAGCAGAGTGGACAAGTTTTGTTCAGCAAACTCTGCAGCGTGCAGCTATACTTCCCGTGCAGCGACACGGCAGACCTTTTCTGCCAGCAGACATTCGTCAGAAAATTTCTGATAAAAGAGCTGCAATTAAGCAAGCGAAAAGGTCTTGTCATCCTGATGACATTCGCAGAGCGACGAATCTTGTTCATGAAGTAAGAAATGCTCTTCATGAGTTCCGCAATGAGCAATGGAACGACTTTCTGGCGGGGATGCTTGACTCAAGCATTCCTCTCTGGAAGGTGGCGAAGTCGCTCAAAAACGGAAAGCGTGAACAAATCCCACACATTCACGGTCCTGGAGGCATTGTCTTCAGGACTGAGGAGAAGGTTGAGGTTTTCGCCAATGCCATGGAAAGACAGTTATCTCCCAACTATGATCTTGATAATGACCTCGACGAGGAGCAACACATCGTAAGATCTGTCAGGAGATATTTCAGGGCCAACGGCGTCAGTGACAGTCGCGCATTCGTTGGTGATTTTTCTTCATCAGAAGATTCTTCTTCAGAAGCTTCTTCAACCGAAGATTTACTTAGCACATCAGCGGTATCTCCTGAGATCCCGCATTGCACACCAGCAGAGATTCAAGGTCATATTGAAGACCTTAAAGTGCGTAAAGCACCTGGGGAGGATCAAATCACTAATAAGGCGCTGAAGCTGCTTTCGCGGAAGTCCTTAACTTATCTCGTGGCAATAGTCAATGCCATGCTAAGGATCCAGTACTTCCCATCCGCGTGGAAGACCGCTGAAGTTATAATGATTCCAAAGAAGGTGGGTTCGATATTTCCCCAGGATTATCGTCCCATTAGCCTACTGTCAGCTGCGTCTAAGCTCGCTGAAAAGGTGATTCTACGTCACCTTGAGAATTTCTCGTCAGATCACCATGTGATTCCTGACGTGCAATTCGGTTTTCGGTCTGAACATAGTACGGAGCTACAGGCGGTTAGGCTGGTGGAACGTGTAACCAGAGGATTCACCCTTAACGAAAGTACTGGCATCTTGCTTTTGGATGTCTCAAAAGCATTTGACAAGGTGTGGCACGCGGGCCTCTTGTATAAACTAATCCAAAAGGGCTTCCCTTTTTGGCTTCTAAAACTACTGAAATCCTTCCTTGAAGGTAGGAAATTTCGGATCAAAATTGACAATGTGCTGTCGACAACACGGCTGATTACAGCCGGCGTCCCTCAGGGTTCGGTCCTTGGACCTATCCTTTACTCACTGTACATCCATGACGTCCCTAGTCCCAGCAACTGTGAAGTCTATCTCTATGCTGACGATACTGCATTGGTGGCTCAGTCGTGGTCTGGTGACCTAGTCCATGACAGGCTGCAAAGTGCGGTGGAAGAAGTATTAGATTGGGCGGATGGGCGGATCGGGACCTCGGTTGGCCGCGTGGGTCAGAGTGTCGTGCTACTGATCAGCCGGCCGGCCGGGCCGCGAGTTCGAATCTCGCCTTCGCCATGGATGTTGTGTGTTTGTTTTAGGCAGCAGCGGTGGCCGCAGTAGTAGACTCTTCGGTCTCCTGATCAGCCGCCGTGCGCTGTGCGGGTTCGAGTCCCGTCCCAGGAGAAATGTTTCTCTTGGCCATGGATGTTGTGATTGTCCGTAGATGGTAGATGGTCTCTGACTGTCGAACGCGGAGGTACCACCCGGCGGTTCTCGTAGGCGGAGCCAGAATGTGTGCATGTTGCATGCACACGTGTTCCCTCGCCAGAGTCCGTGTGGCGTCCCCCCTTTCCCATGTATCCCCCATAGCCCCACGGTACCCAATGGGTGCTTAGGCCTTAGGCCTTCGTGGTAGTTGGAGTATAAAAAAAAAATAATTAAAATAAACCATTCGAAAACGCAGGCAATCTACTGTACAAAAAGACGTCGCGGCGTTCCGTCTGAAGTTTCAATGAATGGACTTCGTATACCATGGGAATCCTCCGCTAAGTATCTCGGTGTCATTCTGGACAAAGGGATGACTTGGCGGAACCATATGGAAGCGCTAAAAACTAAATTCCAAATTACGTTTCGGCAGCTTTACCCATTATCATGTAAACGGTCAAAATTAAGTTTGATTAACAAGATTCGACTCTATAAGGTGGTCATAAGACCAGCAATGACTTACGCATGTGCGGCTTGGTGTTTTATTGCTAAAACACACATGCGAAGTCTGCAGGTTCTGCAAAGCAGGACGTTGCGCACTATGGCTGATGCCCCATGGTATGTCTCTAACGAAACTCTACATAGAGACCTCGATGTCCCTTACCGAAAGGACTACATTAAGCAACAGGCGCAGCGGCGCTATAGCCTAGCGGAATCGCACAGCAACCCTCTGTTGCGTGAGTCAGTGGACTACACAGTCGAGCAAGTTCGCAAGCACAAAAGGCCGCGGCTCGCACTGTAATAAAACTTAACTCGTGAACATAGAACAACCAAAATTGGAGCATTTTTACACAATCTTTAGAAAAAATGAAATATTTTTAGACCACATCAAAATCTGTGGAGCGATTTTAACAATGCCTAAACGCTGCCTATCCTAAAAGATTATCTTCTTCCCCTTTGCCCTCGTTCTTCCTTCTCTCCTTTCCTTCCCCTTTTTTCTTAAAATTGTCTGGTTTCTGGGTTACCAGACCTGACAGACTTACAAACTTACACTGTGACTCAAGAGCTAAGGTCCCACGGACCGCTCTGACAACCAACAATGACTTGATGATGTGCATTTGTCATCTTGACATGCATAAATATCGAATTTTAAAAGACGTTGTTCGGAAATCATTGTTTGAGTTTAATTCAAGAATAAGTGATCAAAAGTAAACCTAAAAATACAATATGAACCATCACTATACAGGGTGGCGCATCGAAAACGAAACAGACGCATTTACCGGCATCTCAGTTTTTTTTTGAAAAACGCTCAGACTCGTCGATTTTGTTTTCGAGGGGGACACAAGTTTGGCAAAAAATCACGTTAGCCCGTGCAGCCCCCTAAGCGGAGGTGACACCACCCCCAAAATCTTAAATGGAAAGGGGTGTCGAGTGATACGTTATTTTAAAGGTCTTTCAATTCCCTTTATAACCATATAAAATTAATGTACTTCAGTTCAGTAGTTTTGAAGATTTATGGATCTAGCGCTTAAATAAAACTAATACATCATCATTAGTGGAGATCAATACATTTGGCAGCAAAGTAATTTAAAAATGAAGAATGAACTGACCCGTTAGGCAAGTAAATGTCGAAAATGGCCACCACGACTCTCCATGCAATAATAAAGATTTTGCTCAAAACGTTGCCGCACATTTTGCAATATTTGAGGAGTAATTTGAAGGCACTCATTCACAACTCTTTGTCGCAGGTCTTCTAATGATGTAGGCTGAGTAGCATAGGTTTCGCTTTATAAACGACCCCACATAAAGCAATCCCAAGGTGATAAATCTGGCGATCTTGTGGGCCATTCAATGGCACCTCTTCACCAATCCATCGATCTGGAAACGTCTGATCTAAATATTGTCGATCACGTAATGCGTAATGTCGTGGGGCATCATCCTGTTGAAACATCAACCTATTTGCAATGTACCGCAGATCATTCTGATTTTGAATTATGACTGTTAATGCAAGATCTATGGCGTCTTCCAGTAATTCCAAATACATTTCACCGGTCAAATTTCCAGGTAAGAAAATAGGACCAACTAAATGATCGCCAAAAATACCAGCCCAAACATTTAATTTTTGTGGCTGCTGCGTATGAACCTCATGATAAATTATGGGATTAGAATCGGACCAATATCGGCAGTTATGACGATTTACTACGCCATATAAGAAAAAGGAACATTCGTCAGAAAAGCAAGTGTTGAATATAAAATGTTCATCGTTTATAATTCGTTCACTCATATCTTCGCAAAATTGTAATCGCCGATCAAAATCGTCTTCATTAAGTTCTTGTACCAGGTGAATTTTATACGGATAAAAACTATGGGCCTTTAGAATCCGTTGGACAATACGTCGACTAATACCACACACAGTCTCCAATTTGCGGGTACTTAACGTAGGATCTACATAAACTTGTCCTAAAATCTCCACTTCTATTGCTTCGTTCCTTATGGGATTTTCAATGTTGCGTTTTTTATTGGCGACTGACCCGGTTTCCCGAAATTTAGCTACAAGTTCTAGAACCTATTTTAGAAGCACGTTACTGTTCTCATGTCGCTCATTAAATATGTCTGCTGTTCTATTAGCTCACTGATTATTTCCAAAAAATATATCGATAACTTCAACTCTTCCTGCTGTGGAATATACCATGAATAATCTATGTAATAAATAAAGCGTTACAAGTTATTTTAGCAACAAAGTTTGGTCAAAACAGTCGCAAACTATGTACTAAATTCCTATTTAAAATAAGTACGAGAGATTTCGTTATCTTTCTGCAAGAAATAACTTTTTTGCCACAAAAAAAACACTCCAATAGCTATTTTCAACAACAAAATGATAAACAAACCATGGGCGTAGTGAAGAAGAGCATTTACTTATTCAGTAAATTCTTTTAGTCAAATTTCTTCTGAAAGTAGTACAAACTAATCTGATGTACCTATTAAAGTCTACTTTAAAGTTTAAATCAATAAATCTTCAAAACTACTGAACTGAAGCTCATGTATTTTACATCATTATAAAGGGAATTGACCTTTAAAATAAGGTATCACTCGACCCCCCTTTCCATTTAAGATTTTAGGGTTGGTGTCACCCCCGCCCAGGGGGATGCGGGTGTTAACGTGATTTTTTGCCATACTTGTGTCCCCCTCGAAAACATTAATCGACGGGTCTAAGCGTTTTTCCAAAGAAAAAACTGAGCTGCTAGTAAATGCGTCTGTTTCGTTTTCGATGCGCCACCCTGTACATGCAGACAGCGTATGGGTTTTATTAAAGAACGGAATTATAGTTAAGCCGAAAACACTACAATACCGACGGTGGCAAATATTCGCACTGACTGGGCCTATAACATAAAAAAGAAAAATGGTGACAATAATTATAAAGGTGAAGACTGTGTGGAATGTATCGTAACTTCAAAACTGTTAATGGAAAAATATCAGGACTACTATAATATCGAATGTAATCCTTTCAGTGACACTGAATTTAAAACAGCCTGTTATGCAAAAAATGACAAAAGAAAGAAGTTACAAACAGACCCCCAGAGAAAAAGACAAAGCGATGTATCACTCAAACTCGGTGAGTTCAAAGCCATGATACAGAACTGCGATGACGAAATGCTCACAAAAAATAGAAATTTTTTGTTTTGACCTTCGAATTAGCAAGGTGAGGAGAGGGTGTAAAATGTGTAACTTTCTGTTTCAAAGGAGAAATTAATCATACAGAGGGAAAACTAACAGAATGCAACACAACCCAATATTCGACAAAACAACGCAAGGGGGTGATAAACCTTGTGCTCCTTCCAAGTGGCTGGTTAAAAATATAGTTAACCCGGATTTGTGTCCGATGAGATTGTTCAGAATGTTCTTGGAGAAGAGAAATTACATAAATATTCAGAAAATTTCGAACTTATATTTTTACTGTTTCAACTCTGGAAATATCGAATTATAATAAACATGATAAGTTTCTATTCAGGCATATTGTGAGTAAATTATCGCATTCGGTTCTTTTTCAAAATAAACTCTTGCAGTTGTTAGGCATCACGCTTTCATGAAAAATTATAGGTAATTCTGATGAACTTGTGTAATTACTTCCGACAATGTCACTTCAACTTACCGAGAGACTTTCCTGAACCACTGATAACCCAGTCGGATGACGATGCCAGTATACCATGTTGAAGAAAGGCTACTTTATTGTTCTTTCTGCCAGTTTTACCTTCAGGTATTCGATGTAGATTTAGGATATACCCATCTGATGTGGTAGTGTAGTGGTTTTCAGCTTTATATCCATTTCTCTCTATTATATCGAGCTGCAAAATAAGTTTCGTCATAATGAACAAAGTGATCTCATGAACTCATACGTACGTATCGTCTATGGAATTTACTTTTTGACGAAAGCTATACATTATAGAACAGCCAAATAGAAAAAAGTATTTTGGAACAACTTATATAATATAAGAAATGTTCACGCAGCAACTAAATATCTGACTACAACAATCACTGAAAGTATATAAAGAAATACCAAGAAAATTAAAATAAATCGTAAAGACAGTCCAAGAAAAAACAGGGTAACTGCTGGACTAATTAAATCTATCAATGCTAAAAACAAGAAATATAAATTATAATGGGTGATTTTTTTGCTAGTATCTTTTTGGCAACACTGTTTTTGACAGGTGACGCGTGAATCGTGTCTTGTGTCATTGTCAAACTTGTTCAGTCTGGTCTATAATTTAACCATGAATCGACCTACGAACGAACAACGCTTGCAAATTATTGAATTTTACTATCAAAATTCATGCTCGGTTAAGAGAGTGCATCGAGCACTGCTTCCAATTTATGGGAAATTTGGTCGGCCTACTGAGGGAGCTATTCGGAAGCTTATGACTAAATTTCGAACCCAGTTTACATTATTGGACATTAACACCAACACGCAGACGTATAGTGAGGACTGAAGAAAATATTGCGGCTGTATCCGCCAGTGTTAGTGATGACGATTCGCCGCCGTTCGCAGCAATTGGGCCTCCGTTACTACACTACGTGGAAAATTTTGCGCCAGGATTTGGGTGTAAAACCTTATAAGATACAGCTGGTGCAAGAATTGAAGCCACACGACCTCAAACAACGTTTTCCATTTGGTGAATGGGCGCTGGCAAAGTTGGAGGAAGATCCACATTTTTATCGAAAAATTGTGTTCAGCGACGAAGCTCATTTCTGGTTGAATGGGTACGTTAACAAGCAAAATTGCCGCATCTGGAGTGAAGGCCAGCCAGAAGCATTGCAAGAGCTACCAATGCATCCCGAACAAATCACTGTTAGGTGTGGATTATGGGCCGGTGGCATCATCGGGCCGTACTTCTTCAAAGACGACGATGGCCGGAACGTAACTGTGAATGGCGAGCGCTACCGTGCGATGATAACAAACTTTTTTTGCCCGAAATGGAAGAGCTGGACTTGGCTGGCATGTGGTTTAAACAAGACGATGCCACATGCCACACCGCACACGAAACAATGGCTCTATTGAGAGGCGAGTTCGGTTAACAGTTTATCTCACGTTTGGGGCCCGTCAATTGGCCGCCTAGATCGTGTGATTTAACGCCGTTGGACTACTTCTTGTGGGGCCATGTTGAAGCTAATGTGTACAGGGATAAACCAGCAACGATTGACGCATTGGAAGATAATATTGAAGCATTTATTCGTCAGATACCGTCCGATATGTTGGAGAGAGTGTGCCAAAATTGGACCTTGCGCATGGGCCATCTAAAGCGGAGCCGCGGCCAACATTTACATGAAATAATCTTTAAACATTAAATTATACCGTTCTATCGACTCAAATAAAGATTTAATCGTTTTTCCAAATTTTTTGTGTTTTTTTTTTTAAATCAAATCCTATACCTCTTAAAAAATCACCCGTTATAAGACAAATCCAACAGACGAAACAAAACAAAATTATTTGTACTATAAAACTAAACTCTGCCAATTGATCAACATTGCAAAACAAAAATATTATACAGAAAAACTACAAAACAACAAATTTGACTCTAAAATGCTATGGAATACCATAAATTAGATCTGCTATTCATGCAAACCTGAAACAAAAATTTAAGGAATAAACGTCCATAATACAACACTTAACACAAGTAAAGATATTGCTGATGCATTCAATAATTACTTTATAGAAGTAGGGAAAAAATTAGCAATTAAAATAAATAAACCTAACACAGAAATTCCGCCTAGAAAATGTACACAACAATCGATTCTCTTAGAGCCTGTGTCTGAAAATGAAATAAAAAATGCCATACACAGTTTGAGAAATAAAAAAAGCCTAGGCCTTGATGGTATACGATCAGAAATGTAAAAGGAAATTTCATCCGAAGTTAGTAAGCCCTTCACGTACATAGCGAACTTGATAATTGAATAGGGAGAATTTCCAGATGATTATAAAGTAGGAGTAGTAAAACCCATCCACAAGTCCGGTGAGAAAACAGATACTAACAATTACTGGCCTATAAGTCTAATATCCAGCTTCGCAAAAATTATTGAGAAAATCATAAAAACGCGACTTCTAAATTTTTTTGATAAACATAATCTGATTAATAAAAAACAATTTGGATTCCAGAAAAACAAGTCTGCCCAAGACGCAATTTCTTTTTTGACATCAAAATTATACAAATTACTGGACCAAAGTGAATATACCGTGTGCGTTTTTAGATCTAGCAAAAGCATTCGGTACAGTAGACCACTTGCTAGTGTTAGAAATCTTACACGACTCAGGAATTAGAGGCAAGGCTTATAACCTCATGAGAAGTTACCTTTCCAACAGAACACAGTGCGTACAAATAAATAATTCCTTAAGCACAAACAAATTGATAGCGTATGGTATCCCACAAGGGACAGTGTTAGGCCCCTTATTATTAACACTTTACATTAATAACCTGCTGAGCTTAAAATCTGAAGGGACAATCATATGTTTTGCAGACGATACTGCTATCATTTATTCGGATAACTCGTGGGATGATCTAAAAGTGAAGGTTGAAAGAGACTTAACAATAATTGCAGACTGGTTCAGACATAAATGCCTCACTATGTTCATGCCATTGACAAATCACAGAAACAAATTACCATCCTTTGTATCTATATAGATTAACTGTGATAATATAAATACTCAAATAAATTTAACAAACAAAATAAAATATTTAGGTGTATATTTAGACTCACATTTAAAGTGGAATATACATATTGATCATGCAATAACCAATTTGGGACCATTATTATTTAAATTCAAGTATGTAAACAAATATTTGGATATAAAAACAATGAAAATTTTATATCATGCTATGATCAAAATATACAACACAAGTATAAGTTAAGCAATATTAGCTTCGGGTGGAGCACTTAATAACCAAATTAATAAATTAGAAATTATCCAAAAACAATTTTTAAAAACAATCTTTTACAAACCACTCTTATACCCATCTGATCTGTATTCTGAAGCAAAACTATTAGACCCTAGGCAACAATTTTTTAATAAAATTGTAAATTATCAATTTCACCATAGAAATAATCTTATTCCGTTAGATCACTTATATAAAACTAGAAACAAAATCAACAACATTAAGCAAACACCTTTCACCTCAAAAAGTATAGGCCAAAGATGTCATACCTTTCCAGTAGATTATATAACATATCACCAAGTTATATAAGAAATATTTCAAATAAAACAAAATTCAAAATTGAAGCCAAAAAATTTATAATACTTAAAAGCCGTCCAACGTTGATATACTCGTATATGTATGTACAGGTGTGTATATGTGTATACATATGTATATATGTGTATATATGTATGTGTGTATGTATATATGTTTATGTCCATCTATTTATGTGTTTATTTGAATGAATATATATATATATATATATGTGTGTATATATATATATATATATATATACATGTAAAAATGTAAGTTAATAACCACGCACAAGAATTTATTCTTCTGTGGGTAAATTCAGTTTATTTACGTATAGCTATGTTAGTTTTAGTTACATTTGTATATTAAATGAATAAACTTATTATTATTATTATATCGACGATTGTGCATATTTATGAAAAACATCGAGACCGGTCTATTTTAAATTCAAAAAACCCAGCTGAATTTATTCCCAAAATTCAACATACTTGCAGGCTTGATGACAAATAACGAGTACAATGGCGAGACAGTACGACGTTTATTTGAGTACTCGGTGCACTGAAACTCATCACCGAGCACTCGGCCGAGTGGGGCCCAACAGATCAGCGAGATAAGTACTCGGACTCCATCCTATTATTTATTGGGCCAATTAGTTTTGGTCACGGTCTCCAAGTTGCTCGACAGGCCGTTGTTGCATACCAGTGCAAGTTTTCAGGCAAACCACTCGATTTTAAGATCTGCCGATTGAAAGTTCCGTATACAAAGTTGGAACTTTCCTCTTCGGCGTATGGATCTTGAAAAAATAAGCCGTTTTTCCTAGTAGCATATACACAAAAGTCTTATTATAAATGAGATATTAGGCTCCGCAAAATCCAGCAAACCTAAACCAAACCTAATCCGCTCCTGTATCTCGATCAGATCGGCAGCGTAGGTAAGCAAAACATTTATTTACTAATCGGTTCCAAAAACTTTACTTTCCACGCAGCGCTCTCATCATTTCGTGAACACCAGTTAGCCCCTCTGAGAAGAACCTAGCTATGAACATGTATAATAAAAACCTATATGACATTTCTCCTTCCCTGAGAGAAATTACTGCAGGTGCACATGATCGTTGTGATGACCAATCCCACGTTTATGGCGATATTGACCTTCACCTTGCACAGTGCACACAGCTCACAGCAGTGTGGAAGTGATTGCCGACTGTGACATACGATGCTCGGCCATCGGGGGACCCCGGCGCACGTATCGACAAGCAACCGTTTGAGGGGAAGTTTTAAGGGTAAATGTTTCTAGATATCTATGATGAGTGGAACATGTCATTATCTGCGTAACACTATTGGAGTTGGGGGCAAATAAATATACCAACAGCAAAAAATTGAGGTATGCCTTCTCCCACTTAGTGGATATATCTGTATAGCTGTGTTGGGGAGCGTAAAAAACCGAGACGACAAAGATTTTGAAGAGAGCTGTCAAGGCGGCGTAAAATAAAGGATGTCACCACTAATACAGGGACCCCGCTAAAACAAAAAAGATGAATATTTTCCCGCAACTGCGTTCCAGGTATTCACTCTCTGCATCTGACTACTAGGGCATTTACCACCATCTAATGTGTAAAAAAGACAATAAAA